ATAATTGTGGTGCTAATTTAGATCAATTAGTTCCCCAGTTTTTTCTAAAGTCAATCAGTTCTCGTAAATAACCGATTAGCCGTTTTTGTTTGTTTTTCTAAGTACTTAATGTTTATCCATCAATGGGTACAACCGGAGAGCTTACTGATAAACCTTTAGAAAAAGATCCGATTTCACTTTTCAAAAACATGGTGCATCCCTATCCCTAAGGCCAAAGGTAGCTCCATCGTGTGACTCAATGAGAACTGCATCTGGGCCGCCTCTGACTGAGTGGATGGTATGGGTTTTGAGCTGTGACGGCAGGTGCTGCCTGATTCCTCCACCAGATGGCTCTGCCGACACCCATATATCAGCCGATAGAGAAAGCTCATCACACTCATCTTTGACACACTTCCACAGAACCATACATGTTCGAGCATAACAATGCAACATGGCCGACGTCCAGTATGAAAGACACACAAGTTAATTCTTCCCGACACTGAAAAGAATTCTTTTCCAAACACATGTATGGGTATTTGTTTGAAAGAGTGGAAAACAGGCTTTCATTTGCATTGCCATACCAGAACGTTTTTCTAACATGGTGCATTGGCAATGGATACAAATGACCTTGACATTCAGGTCACAGGCAGTAATGGGAAAAACAGCCTTAATTTCTCATCATGACGAGAACAAGATATGAGGAAAATAATGAAATTATTTCTAAAACACATGAATAACAGAGATAAACTCGGTGAAATTAGATTACCATGGAAACCTTTTCTAGTGAGATGGTCGTGTTACGATATGTCACTGGTGTTATGTTTGGATATACGCTCTTCATCTAGTGACGGTCAAGAACAGTCAGGATCAATTCATCTGCCAATATTTCTACAATATCGTCACATTAACGTCTTCTCCAGCTAGCAATGGCTGATGTCCTTGTCAGACGGACTTAACTCCCCTTAATCCTTCAGTAATTCAAGACGGTCGCCATAGAGATCAACATGTCTGTGGAACTGAAAGATTTACATTTAATGGTCATCGAAGATGTACTAAGTATAACCGGAAATTGGATTGGAAAAAGATGGACATTGATTCCAAGAATGTTGTTTTCTTGAGGTCGTAACTGCCATGACTGTTTATCACGGTCTAAAGTACCCTATTATTCTCCTATTCAGCTGTAATACAACGAAATAACTGGATAATGATTGTGTACCTTTGACGAGAATCAAATAGAATGAGTCACAATCCATTTCTGTAACAGACTCTCAGCAGCAACAAGGAATGTCCTAAAACCTGAATAACCCAGAATCGGCTACAGCAGACTTAGCTCACATCCAAACTTTACCAACCAGTGCAGTTTGTATTTATCAAATCTTCGGAGAAAATTTCTCTTTAATTAAAAACAAAAACACATAAATTGTAATTTTGCGTAGAAATAACCCGATTTTGGGTTTCCTCTTCTGCACCTGTCTACATACTCCCATAATGCATCTGGCTTCCTACCTCCCCTCGGCGGTATGTCGCGTGCCAGCATGTACTTTCCCCCTATTAACAGCTATTAGCGAAGTCTGTGGATCTATTTGAAGTTGTGCAGTTTATGGCCCAAGTTTCAGAGTTTATGTTTCAGCTCCGATCCCCTCGTTTCCATCTCATCAAAATCTGTGCCAGTAATTATAAATCTCTCGCCATCCTATGGCGTTAATGGCGGTGGCACCCGACTTGTTCAACAGCCCTCCCTTCTCCTTCAAGCTGGGATCGTCACACTTAATTCTTTCATAATTTTTACTGCTTAGTATTAACTTTGATGTCAAATTGATAATACACACAGAAAATGTATTGATTTATCCAAATCCTTAAAGGAGAAATTTAAACAAAAAACATATTCATAAAAAAAATCCAAAGCACTGTTAGCACTTCCAGTAAATTTTAGAGTCTAGGGTCAAGTTAAGGAATATTTACAATTTAAGACATCTTAATACCAAATTTCAATCAATTCAAAACAATCCAAAGACCAACATTATTTACATGAATTACCAACACTGACTTCGTTTGAAAGAAATCCTTTCCACATCTACAGAAACAAACAAATTTTATATCCTCAAGTACCACAGTTGACCTGGATAGGAGCAGAGAGCTGAAGGCCAGAAATAGACCCTTGTAATGATAGAGCTTGCCCATAGCCTGTACTGGAAATAACAGCATAACATCTCAACTAGTTGAGCTCAGGTACCACTTTTATGTTCCAGAGATAAAACATCAAAGCCACAGCTCGTCTGCACTGACCTGAAGGGCTTCATCATGGTGCTAGCTGGGGCGAAGGAACAGGGGGCTGACCTCCCACAAAGGAGGGGAGTCATGTAAGGGCTGGAACAGTGTTTTAGTTGTGTGATGAGGTCTCATAAAGTCAGACGTCACACACAATTCACTAGCCTGGGTCTGGTGTTGATGGGCTAAGAATCCTAACTGTGACAAATCCAGGATTTGAAATCATGACCAGTGGAACAGTTTGTTGTTTAATGCCACACTCAGCAATATTCCAGCTGTAGGACTGCGGCCTGTAAACAATCAAGCCTGGACCAGACAATCCAGTGATAGATATTGTGCAACAATCCATGCTGTTGGGGTATGAGGATCACTATGAACCAAGTACCAGAGTCCGCCCACCTGAAGATTCCCGTGAAGATTCCGGGGTAGGATAGGTAGAATAGATAGAACAGGTCTTCAGCAACCCATGCTTGCTGTAAAAGGTGACTATGCTTGTCGTAAAAGGCGACTAACAGGATCGGGTGGTCAGGCTCGCTGACTTGGTTGATGCATGTCATCGATCCCAATTGGGTGGATCTATGCTCATGATATCAATCACTGGATTGTCTGGGCCAGACTGGATTATTTACAGACCGCCGTCATATAGCTGGAATATTGCTGAGTGCGGCGTTAAACAACAAACCAACCAGCCAACCAACCAACCAACCGCCCACCCAAATCATTTGGTTGCCTCTCACGACCAGCATAGGCTGCTAGGGACCAATCCAATCCAGAATTCCAACAATGTTATTTTATCTTAAGCTTGATCAGAGCCATGTTTTGTCCTGGTTTGGAACTGACATTATCACATCTTTAAGTAGCAGGACCAGTATTAACAAAACTTGACTTCACTATACGCTTCATCAGGAAAAGATTTTACGCAAGCACTTTGAAACTTTTAGAACTCAACCCACTCAAAACATCAATGTTTATGCCTGCAAAGTCTTGAAAACAACTTCAAAATGTCAGCACGTATTGACAAAAAAATCTTTCTTTCTTGATGTTCATAAAATAATCTAAGCAATGTAATGTTAAAGAGAACGCTTAAGATTATGAAGCAACGCCTTCAAGTGCGTCATAGTAGTGCATGATGGGTAGGCAGCAGGATTGTGGGTAATCTCTTAGCTCACCTGTTGAGTATGTTATCATTTACACCTAACAAGCTAATAGGTCATTACCGAATGTCCCTCGCTTTAAAACATCTGCACCCAGTGTTTGCCAGATAAACTCGCTATCATGATCCCATGGGACGAAACCACCTTCAGTAAATTGTTTTTATTCACCCTTTTCAACAAACTTGCTGAAGAGTAGATGAGAGTTACTTTGAAGTCTCGATTATCACATTAAAATGGCCAATATTTCATAACTTTATCAAGTTGCGATTTCCGCAGCCTCTTTTCCACACTGTAGTACATTGGGTATGTTTTCCCACAGATAAAAGATGGACGGTGAATCTTTTTTTCAATAAGCATCAGCGAATGCCTCAAGTAATAAAATAAACTATTATGTCTCTCACACCGAATGATTCAGCTTACCGAGTTGGCACAGCGCTGTTTTGCAAGTTATAGGAACGGGGAGGGATTCCGTGGAGTTTAGAGCACCCATGGCGCTCACATCACATCTGTTGTGCAATGACTAAGCTGGCTCATTCTGGATTTGATTCTGAGACTGGTGTAATTTTCAGCTCAAATGTCATGACATGGGATTCCGGTGGTCACCAGACTTGGAAATACCCATCCAAATAAAGTATGTTTGGTGTAAATGTCAATCCTAAAAGTCATCAAATCGGCCCATTTTTATCAAATAGGCCCCAGGAGGACATAGTCAGTGATGTAAAACAAATAGCATCTATACCATCCTACCCCTTCAAGCTGGGAACACACTGAGGAATTTCAACACCGATCTCAAAACGACGGTAAGGTCGCCTCGTGGAATTGGTTCGTTTTTTCCATATGGGACAAATTTCTCCATTTTAATCAGACTGTTGATATTTGAATGTAGGAAATCCCATGTCATCATGTGAAAATAGGAAATTACCACAACAAACATGGGTGTCCTCTGACATTTGAGTTTGTGCTGATCACGCAGGGGGAGCGCTACAGATGCAAGTCCACAAGATATAAGCCCCCAAACCAAATATCAGAAAGTCCTTTTTTTCGAAACCTAAAGAATTCAATCTCCAGAAACAAGAATCAAATTCCGGTTTCCCACAGTCTTCGTACTATATAAATCCTTCCTGCAAGTTCTTATCAATGGCCCTATTTATCCTGGATCGGGCACCCATTGCAGGGAGGATGGATTTTCTCTCCAGTGTACCTGATCTTTGAGGAATCAAAACATGGGGGATAAGACGAAGAAATGACCCTTCCCATCTCACAAAACAGACAGCACAAGAGTGACAGAATGTGAAGCATTATTCCTGCTAAAATATACTGAGTGAGTGAGTGTTTGTTGTTTAACGCCATACTCCAGCTATACGACGGCAGTCTATGAATAATCGAGTCTGGACCAGACAATCCAGTGACTGATATCATGAGCATTAATCCACACATTTGGGATACGATAACATGCATCAACCAAGTCAGCGAGCCTGACAAACCGAATTATTCACGGACCACCGTCGTATAGCTGGAATATTGCTGAGTGCGGTGTTTAACAAACAAACAAACAAACCAAGCAAAAAAGCTTGTGCGTGTGTGAAATGCTGTACTCACCCACTGACATGCAGGGGGTAGAACCCTGGCGGTGGTGTTGGCGGTCGGTTGTAGCAGTAAAAGTCCTCCTCCGTTTGCGTACCTATTGACACCATTGTTGGAGAACGATTTTTCATCTTATTCTTATTAACCCTACGTAAAACCTCCACCACGATAGGCTCCTTGGCTGTGCGGAATGCTTCTACCGCTGCCTCATGACTTGATTGTGACAGATCCTGCCCATTCACCTGTAAAAGACAAACATCGTAAGCAACACGGTCAAGGAGACGTAAACACATGTAACAAGGTCGATGAAGCAGAAAGAAGCTACATGGTCAATAAGAATTCAAATCAATGAGATATCTCAAGTACCATGGTCAATGATATATTATCATTAACATGGTCTGCGAGATATCGTAGGTAACATGGTCTACAAGATATCACAGGAAACATGGTCTACAAGATATCATAGGAAACAGGATCTACAAGATATCGTAGGTAACATGGTCTACAAGATATCATAGGAAACATGGTCTACAAGATATCATAGGAAACATGGTCTCTGAGATATAGTAAACAATATGAACTACAAGATATCATAAGTCATATGGTCTACAAGATATCGTAGGGAACATGGTCTCTGAGATAGTGTAAATAAAATGGACTAAGACATATCGTAAACAATATGGTCTACAAGATATCGTAGGGAACATGGACTACAAGATATCATAGGGAACATGGACTACAAGATATCGTAGGGAACATGGACTACAAGATATCGTAGGGAACATGGACTACAAGATATGTTAAGTGATATGGCCTGAGAGATATAAGAAACATGGTCCATGAGATATCAAGTTACATGGTTTATGATAAAGCATCAGATATAACATCTTCAAAATCCATGATCATCAATATTTCCAATAATCCAATTGACACAACAGAACAGCATCACCACTGAATCTAACCTATTTAATTCCTGAATGTAATTTCGGTATATTTCTAAATAATAGTCAGTATCTTCTCTGACGTCACCTAGGATAGCTCAGTAGTACATCCTGCACAGTGGTACAACAGATCATGGTACACAAGACACAGGCATCACACATGAAATAAATGGGAACGAAACCCAGACCTTTAGCAGGACAAGTGAACCCTTCATCCACAGGCTACTTATCCCTTGGCTCCATTTGATCTCAAACCTGGTTCTACTCCCCCGTATCTGCTTAATTCAAACATTTGGCCTCAGCAAGTAAGAAAATCTACCGAAACAGCTCCATGAACTATCCTCATGATCCAGTCCAAATCTTTGACAGCATCCTTCTAGTTCTGAGTTCGACCGCATTTCCACAATCCAACAATCTTAATTACCACAATGCAAATCACTTACAGAGAAATTAACGGAAATACATCACCCACATCAAACAGATGAACTCCAAGGGACATTAGTTAATATCGAAGGTGATTCATTCAGGAAGTGATATTGACCTCAACTCCCTGATGCTATATCCATACAGTGACACGGAACCCCATGCTTGCATCACTGGTACAGCAGCAGAGACTACCTACAGAGGCGTTATGGATTATGAAGTCATATCTCTCGATGGGCAACCAAGCTTGCAACTAATTGTTGCTACTGGTCGGGTTTGTCTGCCCCCGGGGCAATCGCCCTCTTGTGTAGCAATGGGTCGTTAGACCTCCTCCCGGCATTCTCATTCATTTTTTATGAAGGTGAGACAATAATGACATCAAAAATAGCGACCAAACAAACCCAGCGCCATCTAGCTCACAGACCAGATTAACCTACCAACAGCAGTCCCATCTAATAAGGACAGAGATGCCCAAACTACCTGTTCACCAAGTAATCAGCTTCATAAATATTTCCCTTTCATCTGATTGGCCGACTGCGGATGACAGCCCTGGTGGTGACCTTGGCCCCTTGGGACACAGCGGAGGAATCCACGTGTGGCCTTGGTAATGATGTCTTGTTGCACTTTATTTCCAGGCTAAAACACGGCATCTCTTGTGGTACACTCGCTGTGTTGGAGACTCATGATCAATAGACGTGATAACATGGTTCAATCTGACGGCGAAATATGGACTAAATGTCTCCTGGGTTTCCTCTTAATAAAGTTAACTTTTTCCCAACACCGAGGTTAAAACAATCCCAAATTATTCAATCTTTTTGTAATGGATATTTCATATCAAGTTAAGATTGACAGTGTCAACAAAGGCAGAGAACAAACAAAATGGGAGCCCAATTTGATGAAGTTTGGGCCTGAATAAGCATGCATGCTCAAAAGTCAAACAATCCAATTTTTTGGAACAATTGTGAAAAATCCGTGGCCATAAATTTTTAAACTTTAGAGGCGATTGGAATCAATAATGGTTAACACTCAAGAATCGTGGAAGTCACTGGGGGCCTGGCAACAACAGAGACTGTTCCGGAACTTGTTACAAGTTGAAGAGCTTCTACAAATATGGTGACCTAGCTGGTTCTATTATCAAGAATCCTTATCATTACCAGTCCGTAAAGTTAGCACGTTAACATGGAAGCCCATGGTTAAAAATACTAACATAACACGAACTAGTTTCAATGAAGATTGAAAAATACATTATTTGGCCATAACATCCCATGAGTACAGTTTGGTATTGATAATGAAAATATCCCCAAGAATGTAAAATAAATATGTGAAATTCTGTCATAGAATCCAAGTTCCATTTGAATTATTCAGCAAAAGCAATTACCCAAACAACTTCATTTTGAATTTTTTCTAATGAAAATCATTTAAGTAGAAGGCTGGATCATGATTTGAAGAAAATCCATTAACATGCAATTGTTCTACGAAGGATCTCGGTTCGAGATTCTGGTAACAAATGTGGGGAAGCATTCATCTGGAAGATGTCGCAGTGAGAGCTAAAATGAGACTCAGATATCATTCCGTTCTATAGAAGACGAAAAAACCGCACCATGCATTGATAAAACCATATGAGAAGGGAAACTGCACGTTCAGAATCTAAGAGTCTGCTTTCTTCATGGGTAGATAAGTCACATTCTAAAATTATCTCCCAGAATGAAATATTTGTGAAATGTAGCTCTGCCATCTTCAGCAGCTGTTACCTCCATAGACAACTGATCTTCCTTGCCGCAGCTCTACAGATAGATATAAACAAAGATGGCTGGTCAGACAAGCAGGTGAACCTGTAGACATCCCCCTGCCATGCTGTTGAGGTCTCCCCATGTCGGTGTGTGTTATGGTAGAGAGGCAATTGGGGCATGCCATCCTTTCACAACTGTTTATTTCACAGTAACGTAGATGGTCACTCATGTAAGTCAATCGTCTAACAGTGATGTGTGTTGCGGCTGCAGTTGCAGTGTCAATGGTGTGACTGTGAAGTGATGGAATAAAGTATCTCACTATTTCTCTTACTTTGTACCCATTTACAATCCACCCAAACCATACCCATCCTCCCGATCCCAACCATCAATCATCCCACCCTTAACCATCTGCTTCACCCCTATTCATTCTCCCCACCCTTAACCATCCACCTGACCTCTATCCATCCTCCCAATCCCCAACCATCCTCCCCTCACCATCATTACCACCCCAACAATGATCCCCACTCCCATCCATCCTCATCACATCCAACCATCTTCTCCAGTGCAGCCCTTTCCAACATAAATATCTCCGCTGAAACACCACCCTGACCTGACCCCCAGTGCCAAACAAACACCCCTACCTGACCCCCAGTGCAAGACCCACACCTCTACCTGACCCCCAGTGCCAGATCCACACCTCAACCTGACCCCCAGTGCCAGACCCACACCTCTACCTGACCCCCAGTGCCGGACCCACACCCCTACCTGACCCCCAGGGCCAGACCCACACCCCTACCTGACCCCCAGGGCCAGACCCACACCTCTACCTGACCCCCAGTGCCAGACCCACACCCCTACCTGACACTTAGTACCACCCATAACTGTTCCCTAATAACAGATCCCAACACAGTCTGACTCTCTCCCCTCCAGTGCCGGTGAACCCCCCCCTACCTGACCCCCCCCCCCGATCCTCCTTGCTGCTGCTCCACCCCTACCTCATTCCCAGACACCCCGCTAGTGCTGCTGCACCCAGTCACCTAACCCCCAGTGCCAGACACCCACCTTACCCAACCCCCAGTGCTAGTGCGCCCACCCTACCTAACCCCCAGTGCTAGTGCGCCCACCCTACCTAACCCCCAGTGCTAGTGCGCCCATCCTACCTAACCCCCAGCGCCAGATCCCCACCCTACCTTACCCCCAATGCTAGTGCGTCCACCCTACCTAACCCCCAATGCTAGTGCGCCCACACAGCCCCTCTAAGTGAATTACCAGACACACAGACCCACCGTGTTTACTCATCAGAGGTCACACTTCCATGCACCATGTCCATGTTTTGTTAAGAGGTTCAAGCCTCTCTACCATCACCGAGAAACGAGAGGGGGATGAACTTGCTTCACCAGCCCTAATTTCAGGCCACGTTCATTAGGAGGGCGACCTCAGAATCTACAAACATTATCTAAAAATCCTCGTCTGTGGAGATGCATAACGGAGTACCTACCTTGCCGTACGTGAATTACACAACTCCCAACTTTCCTTCAGAGAACGAATTCACGAGTATCAATTTCAAATGTCAGCAAATATAAAACATGATTTCAAACTACCAACCTGCTTATCAGGCATAAAACATATCCTGACAATCATACACAAACATGGCATATCACATGACATATCTCATATCGTCAACACAAAGCGCTCCCTTAATACCACGCAATCATTATCAATCTATAAGATGAACTCACCGATCTGCCAACTCTGAGGTCAGGATTTTGAAATATCAAGCTTAAAATCTAAGTCACTTGTCATAATTCCTTGGAAGCAAGGTGTCACGCGGGTCCACCCCTAAAACACTTATTTCTACTCCCAATTTTGCTGTATATTCGTGATATAAATAAGTCAGGTTTACTTGCCCTCTGAGTATAGGTGCACAGATAGGATCGCATGTGTTGATGCTAAATAACGCATTTTGATGCTGATGCTTTTTAAAAAAGCATGAAATCTGAATAAAGATAGCATTATGATCCCCACTGAAAACATGGCTGCAAGATGCCCTGATAAGAAATTTATCATAAACATGATAACAAACTAAATCGCTAACAAAAATACAGCTGCATTCAATTAATCAACAATGTGAGGGAAATAAACTTCAAA